AGCCATTTCTGAGGAGCATACACTATATGGCAAAAAGTATGTGCACCCCTGACGCTCACACCCATGTGTGCTTGTTGAACATCTCATTCCGGATTTATTCCCGTGTACTGTTATAATGAGCTCCACTCTTCTGAGAAGGCTTTTCTACTAGATTTTGGAGCATGGCTGTGGGGATTTGTGTTCATTCAGCTACAAGAACACTAATGAGGTTGGGCGAGGAGGCCTGGCACGCAGTCAGCATTCCAATTCATCCAATTCCACTTCATCCAAGTTCAAGTTCACTTTATTGTCAAATGTTTCCAGAATACAGAGTACACGAGAAACAAGTAAATTATTGCACTACACTGTCATGACCATACAGTTAACATAAAGTGCATGCAAACAAGCAAACAGATACATCATACAAGACTGCAGCGTAGAGAGAGCTTTCACATGGGTGGGAGGAAAGTGTTACACAGGTCAGACTGCGTGTAGAATGAGTAGTGCAAATTAAGTGACACGGTTTAAGAGTGAATAGTGAAAATTGACTAATACGATTAAAAAACACCACCACAAAACTGTGCAAAAACATGCATAGGAGGTGAATTTAAAGTGAGGTAGTGCCAAATGTACATATATCGAGGTAAAGAATATGTTGTATGTGAGATGGGCGGTTGCAGTTGCATGAAAGGTTTGGTCTGGTGAGGAAGAATGAAGGGTTAGATGATTATAGACTGGGCCCTCTTCCTGCTTCTGGTTAAGTGAATCTGTTGGAGTTGTGGGAGATCTGTGCCGATGAGTTTTGATGCAGGTCTCACTGTCCTCTGAATGGGTTTGGTTGAGTGTGCTCAGGTTGCCAAACCACAATGGTGATACATGCAGTCAGGACACTCTCTACAGAGCACCGGTAAAAGTTCACCATGGTTGCTGTGTTTGTTCCAAACTTACGTCTCCTAAGAAAGAACAGACGTTGCTGTCCCTTTTTGTGAATGCTGCTGGTGTTTAGTGACCAAGATAAGGAGTCTGACAGCAGAACGCCCAGGAATCTAAAGCTGCTGATGATGTCAACAGGTGAACCATTAATAGTGACAGGAGTATGGGCCCCTCTGTTTTCCTGATGGCCACAATTAGCTCTTAAGTTTTGTTGTTGATCAGACCTAGAGTTCACTTGAGTTCTTCCACACCAAAGTCATCAAACCATGTCTTCATTGTCCTCGCATTGTGCACAGGGGCATCGTCATGCTGGAACAGGTTTGGGCCTCTTACTTCCAGTGAAGGGAAACTGTAACGCTACAGCACACAGAGACGCTCTATACAACTGTGTGCTTCAGACTTTGTGGAAACCGTTTGAGGAAGAAATAAATATGATGGTCAGGTGTTCACATACCTTTGGTCATATAGTTCACATATTTATGGTCATTGCAGAGAAAACATTATTATCAAAAACATCCAGAGGTTAAATGAATGAAAAGTAATATACTTGCTCCTCAGAAACTGTTAGGACTGAGCCTATATGATGCTTATTGCACAGAAAAGTCCATGACATTCTATTAAAATTAATTCCTTATTAAATACTCATGACTTGACTTTCACATTTCATTATTGATGAATAATTCTGTTCTATATGTTCAGTTACAAAGATTTATATTTCCATAAAATTATTAAATGAAACTGTTCTCTAAAAACTGTAATATATTCTTAAAGAGCAGAGTGTACTCTACCCATGACATGACCTTCATGCATTTCTACTGTAGACATTTAGAAAAAAGAAATACAGAACATGGGCGAAAAAATTCAGTATACACTATATGGCATTTGGACACATGACCATCACAGCCAAATGAGGTTCTTCCTCAAGCTGTTCCACCAATCTGGAAGCACACAATTGTATAGAATGTCTTTGTATGCTGTAGCAGTAAGATTTCTCTTCATTGGAACAAAGCGGCCCAAACCTGTTCCAGCATGACTGTGCAGCTGTGCACAAAGAGCGGTTTATAAATACATGGTGTGTGAAGGTTGGAGTGGAAGAGATCGAGTGGCCTGCACAGAGCCCTGACCTCAACCCCACTGAACACCTTTGGGATTGAATTGGAATGCAGACTGCACTCCAGGCCTCCTCGCCTGACGTCAGCGCCCGACCTCACTAATGCTCTTGTGGCTGAATGAACACAAATCCCCACAGCCATGTTCCAGATTCTAGAGGAAAGCCTTCTCAGAAGAGTGGAGGCTGTTATAGCAGTAATTGCAGGGCAAAATCCATATTAATGCCCATGGTTCTGGAATGGGAAGTCCAACAAGCTCATGCAGGTGATGGTCAGATGTCTGCATACTCTTGGCCATATAGTGTATATAAATACTGAATAAACACTACAACACAGAATCTAAAATATTAGACAATTAGTACTCAAGCAGTGCTATAATATAATGAGAGTAAAGAGTAAATATCACTTGACATATATATATATATATATACATACATACATACATACACACACATTATATATACATTATTTTATATATAAAATCACCCATCACTATACAATTCTGCTGCCACAAAGTTGGAGGCACAGAATTGTATAGAATGTCTTTGAATGCTGTAGCATTACAGTTTCTCTTCACTGAAACAAAGCGACTGAGCCCAGACATGTTCGAGCATGACAATGCCCGGTAAAGAAAGCTAGGTTTATAAAGACACGTTTGGGCAAGGTTGGAGTGGAAGAACTCGAGTGTCCTGCACAGAGCCCTGACCTCAACCCCACTGAACACCTTTGGGATGAACTGGAACACCGACTGCACCCCAGACCTCCTCGACATCCCAGCATCAGCGCCTGACCTCACTAATGCTCTTTCAAGAAGAGTGGCGCTTATTATAACAGCAAAGAGGGAATAAATCTGGAATGGGATGCTCAGCACGCACATATGGGTGTGATGGTCATGGTACACATACCATATAGTGTACACTGCTAGATGTGGGGGGAAAAAGATGAAGTCAAAGACAAAATAAAAATCCAACCATCAGCTACACCACTTACTAATATCAACATACTTATATA